CTTTTTCTTCTTATAGATAATCAATTTGTAACAGTAGGTGATCGATCAATCTCTGATACATACATCTTTTTTCTCTTCCTCAAGGTCATTTCATAGGAATAGAATAATGCATACTTCTTTGTATAAGAGAGTTGTTTTTTTGTTTTTTCATTTAATATTTCAATTAGAATGCAATAAGATATTTTTCAATAGGTACATTTTTTCTTCGTTATTTGTCTATCGATAGGTAAGGATAGAGAGGAAAAGTGCTTATTTAGTATCGTATGAGTTTTTTGTGCAGCTATAGGTAGTTCATAACAATAGAAGATAGATAGCAGTCATTAAAAATTTTAGTTCTTTGTTAATATGATATAAAAATTTATTGTTTAGTAAAATTCCTTTTTTTCTGATTGTCAATTAATAGAAATAGAGAAAAATGTACATTTATTAAAATAAATGTACGGAGTTTTTCGTCTTCTATGAAATACCTACGTATTTTTAGTCGATAGATATTACTATCTGTGCAAATAACAAATCTGTAGCGTTAGGCGAGAAGACTCTGAATATTTTTTATTTACATCCATAGTTTTTTCGGTAAGTACTCAATTCTTAATATATCTCGATATCAATAAATACAATTTTTTTACGATGAAGTAGTTAGTTCACAGTGGTTTTGGATAAATCCTTCTCTAACACGAGTCTATTTTTGTCGAATATTCCGTTATGAGATTAGAGACGTGTCCAAATAGTATTTAAGTGTATTCTTTCTTTTTGTTTTGATGAGTAGTTCATTCATAAAGTAGTTAGGGATATTTCTTATCCAATATAAATTAGTTAGACGATTTTAAATCTTTACTTTTAAAAGAGTTTAGAACGGTTTCTTTACCAACTCATTTTTTCTTAATGGTTGACGCAAAAATCACTGAAGTTAAGTATACATTGCATCTCAGAATAATACTCGTACCATACAGGGTGTTCCAAACGTCCCCGAGAAAAGTAAATTTGAATATCTCCATTATTTATCAAGTTTAATCAACTGATTTTTTTTCAAATGATAGGTACCAGTGTGAAGTTTTTTTTTATACGAATAAGGTTCATAAATACTGTTCAAAGTTATTAGTTTTGGGTGATATACAAAAAGCACCCGTTTTTTGGTTTCCAAAAAATTGCTAGGTTGTGTTTCTTTTTTAATGCTTTAATTTCTTGCATTCTGTGTGACGTTTAAACCTTTACTATCATTTGTATGCATTTCTTTTGGTATGCCACTATAAAAAGAAGCCTAATGGTGTCAAGTTTGGTATTTACGAAGCTCATGAAACCGTTTTATGTTTCCGAACGATGACTCATGAACTCGAACAGGTGAACCGATCTTTGGAGCTTCACGATCGCCGGATTTGACTCCATTAGGCTTCGTTTTGTTGTGATATATCAAAAGAAATGCATAGAAATGATAGTAAAGTATCTGATCGATCTAAACGTCAGACAGAATGCAAGAAATTAAAGCATTAAAAAAGAAACACAACCTAGCAATTTTTTGGAAACCGAAAAACGGGTGCTTTTTGTATATCAGCCAAAACTAATAACTTTGAACAGTATTTATGAAACTTATTCGTATAAAAAAAAACTTCATACTGGTACCTATCATTTGAAAAAAAAATCAGTTGATTAAACTTGATAAATAATGGAGATATTCAAATTTACTTTTCTCGGGGACTTTTAGAACACCCTGTATAAGATGGTTTCGAAGTTCTTACATATAGTAGAATCTAGCCAAGTTTCTTTAAGCAAAATTCGATGAATCTTATTTGATCGATTCGAAATCATAATCGAATTTCAGTTAATTGACTTTAATAGTACAGAAATCAGTTGGAATGAGTTATAAAAAAATCCGGATTTCTTAGTCAATGCTGATCGATCCTGGCAGTGTCGAATTAGATAGTTGAAATTTAGTCACGATTTCGGATAAAACAATTGAAACATATCAAGTCTCATTAGAGAAACTTTGTTGTAAGTCAATTTGAACAGTATCTATCGTCAAATACAAAGTAAAGATAACTTTTCATTTGAAAAATCGGAAAAAAATGTAAATCCTATGTACTTTTTGTCTTGATATTGACTAATCTTTTTTTTCTTATCAAATGAAGTAATTTCTCGACTTTTTCTGGATCACAATAAATAAATATACTTTGCTCTTTGCTACATTTTTTTTGTTTCTTTATCATTGAAGTTCAATTGCTTCGTGTCTCATATTTACCTCAAGACAATAATAGATTCATGTCTTTTTTCGTATCTATTCTGTTGCTGTGCGTTGGCCTATGTGGAGTACTCATCCATGGATGGGGCCCAGTAGGACACAGTTTCGTCGTTCGTCTAGCAGAAACTCAATTAAATAGTTCGGAATTTGATTGGCTACGAGCATTGGTACCATGGCATCATAAAGGCAATTTAAGTGCTATGGCTATATGGCCCGATATTATTCTCAATCCGAATACGAATCCTATTGGCTATGAAAATTGGTTATGGACTGCCGAATTACATTATATTCGTATACCCGATTGGAACTGTTCGTATATATCTGAACGAGATTGTCCACAAGATCGATGTATTGAAGGTGCATTAAAAAATTATACGAAGCGTATCGTTGCTCCCTTAGGTGGATTAATTGACGAAACACAACGACAAGAGGCTCTATTTTTTCTTCTTCATTTTGTTGGTGACATTCATCAGCCATTGCATGCCGGATTTATTGGCGACAAAGGCGGTACTGCGCTCAAAGGTAAGTATTATTTCTCGTGCGAAACACAAGGAAAATTTTTTTTTATGATAAATCTATTCGAATCTTTCTAAAATACGATAACTGAGGCCTGGCTAATAGTACAATACTAATAATAATCGATGTATTGATTCTATACTTTAGATAACAAATTGAGAAAGTATTTTATGAAAAACCTACCTGTAATAGACATACAGCGTGAAATATTGCTTTTCCCAATTTCGCTCCTCATAGATCGTGACAGGCAGGTAGAATGGATAAGATTTTCAAGTTTCACATGCTCTAACCTTCATTTCGACGCGTTAACCTTTCTGACCGTGAGGTCTCATATGATCAAGATGGATAGGACTTTCATTTATGAGTAGAACAAACCCTGTGCATTTAACACTTTAATTCTGAAGGAATTGCAGAGAAAGCTTTTGTTTTGGAAAGTGCAATTCAATTAACTTAATCATACTGAATGCATTACTTTAAAATGATCGAATAAATGAATTATGTTCGTTTCCGTAAAAAATATAAGAAAATTTTCTTTTTTCGGCGTCTCTGAATCTCGTCACTAACTATCTTCAGTATCTCCGATATCGTTTTCTTTCGAAGATAACCATATTCGACAGATTGACAAGATCTTATTTTCCATGATGATGAGACGTTTTTTCAGCATTTGATATGAAAAAAATTCTTTGACAAAACAAAATCAATTTCAAATAAAAACTGTATTGAACCTAATGCGTAATAATGCCCGAATTCGAAGTCACCGGTCAGAATCAGAGAACGAATCTAGTCAATAATTTCTCATGCGGCCTTCTATTGAATGATTGGAAAACAATTCTCTATAAAACTCTCTCAGACAATATTAGTTCAAATTATTGTATTTATTTATAGGCTATTTCATGGGCGCAACTCAACAGACTGATTTTCATTGGTTATGGGATGATGATATTTTAATGTATCGTCTACATAAACATTTTTCATCAAATGTTGAACATTATTTCAATTATCTTTATTCACTTATGATCAATCAATCGTCTACCATCGATATGAATAGTGATAAAGATTACAAAACATGGATTCGAGAAGATATTGATATTGTCTGTTCGCAACTCTATACCGATGATAATAATCAAAATATCAGTGGTTCGTTCAATTTGAATCAACTCTATTTCGAACGAAATTATCCATTGATCGATAAACGAATCGTTCAAGCCGGTCGCCGTCTTGGCATACTTCTCAGAAGTTTGAAACCCGAACAACCTAACTCATCATGTATTACACTTTGTTCCAGTACGATTGCTATCATTATCATACTCAGTATTCAATTTATATTTGGTATCGGTATTTGACGTTATTATCGTTTCTATAAAAAAAAACGAAAGTACAACAAAAAACGATAAATTTCTTGGTTGAAATAAAGCTTAGTCCAACAAATGATGCGATTTGTAAATTTGATAGTCGTTTGTGCGTCAATTACTCATGCTATCCTCAAATAAATTCAGGGCGGAGGGATGAAAGGGTGTGAATAGAGAGAAGTCAAGCCTCCACAGTCATACCGTACTCACATTGACATCCACAAACACACCTATACTCACCCAACAATGTGTTAAGCAGACTATGGAAAATAATTGATGATCTAGATATTTCATACATATGTCACTTAGCATTGAGAATTGCATCGACAAAAGTGATTGAAATTCAAGAAAGACGAGTACAAGCTCATCTGTATTACATTTACTTTACTATCTCAAAAGATAGTACTTTATATATGAATAAGTTTTTGTAAGCTCCGTGAGATCGATAAGTGTGTATGTACTCAATGTGAATTTGTAAAAAGTCGAGTTTGCAGAACCTGTTTGAGTCTTAAAGCAAATAAAGGAACACTAACAGAGTTGGACAGTATTTATTATAATTTGAATATTTACTTTTGATATTGTATCAATTATTGGACAGCAATCTAATCCGATAATTATTCTATACTAACTTAAAAATCAACAAATTGTTTATTGATACAAAATTTAGATGCTCAAATTTTGCACGGATCCATTGTTAAAGAAAGATTTACAAGTCTCGCAATTGTCATTTCAGAAAGCTCATCAGATAGAATGTATTTTTCTGTATGTATTTTAAAATCTTCATTTTATTTTAATCTTTCTCGCTCGACTATTACTGTTGATGAATACATTTACGTTTTAAAAATTTTCAATTCAATACAAAATAATTTATAAATGTTATACTGTTATCGTTCGACAAATTTTTATTGTTGAGTCGTTTCGATGTAAGGTGCATCGATTTTTAGTTCGCCATCGTCTGTTATTTGTGATCGTAATTGATCGACCTGTGTACCAGGTGGTAATGTCATCGATTTTCGAAAGAATGATCGTTGTAAACAGTTCTCATCCTTGTAACTATGTTCACATTGTACAGTCAATAGATTATCTTTTACCGAAACATTGATCAAATTAGGCTTGATATTTTTCATAGACAATGATATTTGCAATTGTTTTTTTCCATTGTTGTCTGTTTCAACAATACGTTGATGAAAACCGCAATTATCCAGAAAACCAACTTGGTCAAAAATTGGCTTACGATATTGTCCAAATGGAACCAATTCTTTGCTTGCTTCATCTTGTGCTTCGACTAAATGACGTTCGACTTCTGGATGACGAATTGGTACTTCAATGACTAGCATGTTATTCGGTGTAACGAACGACACAATATTATCCACATCTATGAAAATAAATAGAGTCTAAATTAATTATTAACAGATAATTGTGGTGCAGCCAAGATTTGATTGATGGAAGAATACTCGTTTTTACTCATGACAATAGCGGAAATTCATTCATTGTTTCCTACTTTGACATCGACGACAGTTATGCGATCTAATCGTTTAGACTTGAAGAGTTATTAAAGAGAAATGAGTTCACCATGTGAAAAGTACTCGAAAGGTGTAATTAAACAGGGCCTCAAAAAACAATTTTTCCTACAAAGGTCGGTAACATATGTCTTGAAAAAAGTCTTCCTATTCGTGCTATAGAAAGTAAGACAAAGAAACTTTCCACCGGCAAATCTTACGTCTCTATGCAGATCGGACCTCAGTCTATCTTTCTTATAATTTATGTAGAGCTTAGTGTATTGTTCTTGCATAACCAAAACTTGTAACTAAGAAGGAGATTGAGCTTGATCGAGATCTTTTGGATTACGTCACAAGAAGATAACATACCAGCATCTTCAGGTAGATCATAACTTTTCCGCATTTCTCGATAATTAAAATCACCATCGCCTTGACGATCGTCATATTTGGCTTGAACAACTAATTTTTTACCGTCGATCTGTGTTTGAATTGTATCTTGATTGAAACCATCTACATTTAGTTGTATACGAAATTTTTCTTTAAGTCTTGGTTTCAAGCGTCTACGAGCAAGACAAAGCGGTTCGTTGATCCATCTAAATGCATTTGGTACAATTAATTGAGTTGTATTGTAGTCTCCCCACGGATCAAAAAAACCGAGTGGATTACCGAACAGTTGTTGAAATGGATCGTTGAATACACGATAACGATGAATCGGTAAAAAAGCCATAATCGTGTTTTGAAACTCTTAGATGAAAATTTTTAGATGTAAAATGTAGGCACTAACTTGCAGCATATATATATATATATTTAAGCGGAATACTACAATTTTGTAGTACATGGTAGACTCTTCTAGAGGTTTCTCATTGCATTCTTTGTTTTTTTTTATCCTTTGTCTAGTCAATTTTTTTCACGTTCTGTCGCTTGTCTTTTTCTTTCCTGTTCTATCCAATGCGTGAATACAAGAGTTGGAAAAACGAGATGCGCATAGGAACGGGCACATAAAAATGTGCTGAAGTAGTTATGTTCGTTCTTTTATTCAACTACAGCTTGATTATGTTATTTTTACTAGTTTTGCGCAGTTTACTGTATTTATACAAAACATTGGAAGTTTTTTTGTTTTGATACAGTTGAATAGAGCATCGTTTACTCTATCGAACTATATAGTTTGCATTTTATTTCCTTTAGTTCTAATTTGTCCAAAAATTTGATAAATCTCGACAAACAGTCAAAAAAAAGTTTTTTTTTATCCAGCAAATATCAAATAACTTCTGAGGTCATTTTTTTCGACGACTATTATTTATTGGGATACTGAAATTTTTTATTTTTATATAGAATAATAGAGCGTTCATTTCTCTATCGATATTTTTTGATCGGCTTATTTCTACTATAAACTGAGTGAATTTTTCAGATACTTTTTCGTGAACTTTTTTTCATGTATGCTTTTCTTAACATTAAATCTTCTTTTCATTGACATGTACATGAATAGACCGTTGATTTCTCTATCGTTTACATAGTTTTGATTAGATTTACGTCAATTTAAATTCGATCAATGAGCAACTCAATAAGAAGAATAGTAAATAACTAATTAATCACGATCATGATTTAAATGATAGATGTTTACTAAAGAGACATTATTTTGTAAAACTGAAAAACGATGGTATTCATCTTATCTTTTGATATTCTGTCGGTAAAAATTAAAATATTTCATAGAACTACTTTCCAATTGTACAAATCATGAATTCATAAGAATAGTACCCTGTTGTTTTATATACGTATTTTCTGCAATCTACTTATGTACATTAGAGTCTATTATATAGTTCGTGAATTTGAGGCATCGAGTGATTTAGGAAAAGCAAAAAAAAATGTATGTTATGATAGTTTTAAGCAAATATCAACTTTCGATAGATTTTCATGAAAACTTACATGCCTCAGAGAAAAGATTATCAACTACTCAATAGTATAAATGCGATTTTTCGAGTTGTTCACTTTTGAAGACGTAGAAAAAAATTTAACAATATAATTTTTGCTTGCTGGATAACGTTGCGACGTACCTAAATACAGATGAGATAAATTAATTGATTTATTCAGACTAATCACCAATTTTAGATCTTGTATGGCAAAAAATTAAGCTAAAATCTGCATACAGAATTATAAAAATAAAAACAATTTCATGCATATGTGAATTGATTTGATGCAGTACAAGATTTTGTTTTGGATATTATTCTTTGCAAATAAATCCAAGTACCATATATAAAAAAAAATTGCAACGAACGAATAAAATAGTAACTATTTCTAAAGAAAAAACGCTGCTCTACATATTGCTTTTTGGATTTGCTTTATGCGACATTTGTAGTATGTCTCATTGAGATCCATTCAAAGATAATTACTATGAATAACACAGAAAATTAGAAGATTACATTTCTAATAATGTTTCTTTCTGATATCAACTACAGTGTAATGATAGAAAGTGTTTTGAAAATTGGTGATCAAACTAGAACTATCCATTTGTTTTAGTCAAAATCGTCGCCAATCAAATTAGAAGACATTATTGCCCCTCCATCATTTTAGATAACAAAATGAAAGCATCAAGTAACATAATTGCACATTTAGAATAAGTATATCATTTCTAGCTAGTGTGCTTAAACAATGTACTTTGTTCACATACATTAGTCACTTTTATTTTACTCTACATGTAAGAATATCTAAGAAGATAAGTCCAAAAAAATTCATATCGGATAAAAAGAAAAGAAAATATTCTAAAATCATATTTGAAAGAAGAATTCAACACTTCAATTAGAGATACATCAAAGAAAAACAAAGTAATTTACCGATTACTTGTCCTTGTTTCAAAGGCTCATTTATACTGAAAATATCATGTTGTTTTTATCTCATTGAGTCAAAAATGTCAAACAATCGTATGATTGCACGTTCCTTACACACTAATAGATGTTGACAGTGTTGATAAACATATAGAACCAATACAACACAATATATAGTAATAACATCGTAGAGACAAAACATTGTATTATAAACAATATCTCAGTTAGGTTATTCTTCATTGTGTATCATTGGATAGTTAATGTCATTTCTCTTCGACACAAACATGATGCGAGTATTAGTACTTTTCTTGATGGTTCATCTTATCGTTTGTCGAATGGCGGAAAAAAAATATTATATTCGGAAGGATTATTTTTCTGCATTCACAGGAGGTGAATTTTCGGTTTACGATTCGACACGAAAGATTCTTCACTATCGAATAGAATCTCGTCGCGTACTGTTACACTCGATCGAGCTTCTTGTTTATCCATCGAAAAAAGTCGTAGGCAAACTCAACCAGAAATGGCAGGGGGTTCCTTACAAATCCAAAATTGAAATTTTTGATAATCAATCTAAGAAATGGATCAATGGAACGGTTGCTCAATATTTCAAGTTTCTGGATAGTAAATTTACGATTCAATGGAATAATCGACATTTTTCGATGGTGACCGATCCATTCTCGTTGGTTACTCGATTTTATGATGAGAAAGAACCAAGCAAAATCTTAGCTCAAATCACTAAGCGAAAGAGATCGTATTTATTTTCTAACAAATATGACATGGAAATATTTGACAAAAAGTTACCAGATGCCATTTATCTGCTCAGCCTTGCTGTTAACGATCATCTTCGTCGTTGGTAGACTGAATGATAAGCTTCCAACGGATTTCTGGTTCTAAGCATAGGACTACATTTACATGTTTTTATATGATAATCTTTAATTTTTTTTCTAATTTTATTTAATGTCTATTGAATAAAAGCTCAATATGTAATAATAGTTAATAATCTGTTCTGATCAATTTTATATTAGATTTATATGAATTGCATCCGTCTAACTCTTCCATCTAGTTACAAAACTACATTATTTTTAAGAAGCAAACTTCGTGGATTTTGTTGTATCAAAAAATTAAATTAAATGGTATTTAGCCGCTCCAATGTATATAAAATCAGGAAGTATATTGAAATGTAACAGACGGATCTAATGCATAAATATATTGGTTTATCTGAGAAATCATCTAGTGCAACTGCAGTAGATAATGAACATTCGAGCTTTTTCACTGTTTGCTTTTCACTTTAAGAAAAAATATTTTATTTTCAATATGAGCTGACTAAAATGGAAAATGATACAAAGAAGACAAAATCCTCAGTCGACTTGAGAGTGTTCGGGTGGTGTTAGTGTGAGTGACAGTTAAGTATACTCTCTACACTCTTAATAATACAAACCTATATCTAAGACCTATTCCCTGAAGCTTTAAAATGTTATATCAACCAAGTTTTGGTATTTGCATTTCGATGGTAAGTTCAAGCAAAAGTCGCATGTTGCGAAAGAGTGTACCATTGTATTTACTTAAAACATCAGTATTGGTTGATAAATATTTGTATCGATATCTATACGGATATACAACCAGACCGGTCTCATACTTATATCCAGCAGTTCCTGTATCATATAATACAACAATATCAGTAACATTTGCTAAACGAATAAGATCAATAACACGTTTTTTGCCTGGTTTATGATCAATAAAAGCTACAGACCATCTTGGATGATTAGTTCCAATATGATCCCATTCTTTTGTTGTTTTGATATGACGAAATTCATGGAGAGAAGAAGATATATTTGCTTTAAACTTTGATAACCATTTAAGATCAGTATCTGTCGAAAGTAGATAACGTTTTTGTTCAACAACAATTATTTGATGAAGAAGAATAGTAGAAAAATAACCACAACCTAATTCCAATACTGGTCCTCCTCCAGATGTTAATATACTAGTAGCAAGTAGTACGAGTTGATGAGATCCATAACGATTATCAAGTGGAACACGAATATAATGTTTGATAATTCGAAGCCAATGAATGCTAAGTTCCTTATCTATTTCATCGAAGATATTTTTAATATAATCTTGAGATGATTGAATATCCGTATTATTTTTTTTTCACTAATTATGCTACCGATTTGAAATATGTCAACAATGGCTTTGTCAGGATAGTTGTCAGCATATCGAAAAAAAATTCCGAGTATCATAACAACGAATATGCAACAAATCAAAATGCGAATACTAGGATTTAGATAAGATTTCATGATCATATACTAATATAATTTGTGACGATAATCTCGAAATGACCTAAAATAAATGAATTTCAGTGCCATTTTACGCACTTCAATGTCATGGAAGAAAGATTTTTTTTCAACAAGAAAGATCCTATAGTGATATCTTATTTAGTGTTCAAAATGTTCGTCATGAATGTTTCTCGCATACTTCTTTTACGAGTACTCGATCATGTATCAACATTCTGCTGTCGCTAAACGATCTTTTCTATCAAGAAGCAGTTTGCTTTCAGAAAATCTTTACTTAGTGCTAAACAGAAAGAGAAATTTCTCAAATACTATCGTCTATCAATGTGTTAAAATTGTACTCTGTGCATATCGTGTGTTGGAAAATGATTATCGAATATTGTTGCATCTGTTATGCTCACTTTATATAAACAATTACAAATTCAACATTCATATGAAACACCCATCAGATGTTCGTGTCAAGAAGAAGTTGTGAAGCGTAACGATTCGGTGCGAGATATGCTTATCAGATATAGACGAGGCTGTCTTGCACCAACTCCATGCTGTGTCACACCCCTATGTTTATCTGTGATACTTTTACGTTCAACAAGCATTACAACTTATTCTTGTGATAGGTTGAGATCAATAGACTACAAACTATTCTTAGATGACTAGAAAATATTTTTTGGAATAATGACGACATTAATGATCTGGACTTTCATTTTTCTTCACTTTCAACTACATCACCATCAACTATTGATAGTAGACTCAATGAAAAGAGCAAACGAAACGCTTTAAACAACTTTCTTCAACTCACGTGACTAGATCATTCGTATCGAGCATTAGTAATTATTCATTCATATAATCAATTTGGTAAGAAATCGAAGAGAAATTTTTGCGTTATGAACACAAATTTTTATTAATGCTGTGCTGGAATTTCTCATTGGATGGAATGCAGATCAAGTGTGTCAAGAGTTATTTTTAAAAGAAAATAATAACTCGATTTTCTAGATGGTCTGTAGTCGTGCACTCACTATGATTCATTCTTATCGTCGTGTTCCTATAGACTCTAATATTAAAATAGGTTTAGACGTGGTCTTTTTACATGGTTAAGGTAAAACTATAATGAAAAGAAAAAGAAAGACAAATTTGATAAAATTATTTTAACACATTTACTAATAACGTACCCTCGTAACAAGGATGTCAGTTGAGTACAATAAATTTTGAATAATAGCTTAGATGTTACTCTTTAGCATATATCTTCTATATCTGTTCAACTTTGTGTATTCGAAAAATACAAAAAAAAAATCAAAATGAGCCCGAAACTTATGAAATATGATATATATATATAACTAAAACTTATTGATGATATCTAACTATAGTTATTCGCTTCTTTCTTATTTCTGGTGACGTAACCAGAAAGGGTGTGGGTGTGGGTGGGGTATGGGTGTGGGTGGGTGTGGGGTGTGGGTGGGTGTGGGTGGGTGTGGGTGTGGGTGTAACAACCGATCTTAAGACAAACTCACATCCACACCCCACACCCCACATCCACACCCACACCCACACCCACACCCACCCACAGACACCCACACCCCCTCCCCCCTTAATCCGATTTTTTTATTCCTTTTTTGTGCAGAGTGTCCTGATGAGTGTTTATTCTTTAAATAAATAACACGAAACGCGTCGGCAAAATCAAAAACTCCGCATTTATTTCAAATTTTCTCGAAGCACCATACAGAAAATCATTCAATTCTGACATCAAATCGATTGCTGAAAAGTAGGAGTTGAGAGTAGCAGATTAGTTTGTCTTTTCTTCAGAAGAGAGATTGATCTGTTTTTCAATTGAGGCACGAAAATGGTGAATGTCGGTTTTCGCGGAATAAAGTTGAAAAAAGTGATCAGGAGTGATCCTTTATCCAAACCCGATATGAATAAATCAATTCTAACGTGAGCCGCAAAATGGCTTTATCCGCCCTCTTCCTTTAACAAGTGCTCTTTTTCTCATAATCTTCAATTATTTTTTTTTGCGCAATTTATATTTGATTTTAATAAAAACATATGCAAAGATTCACAAAACCCTCAGTCATAGAGTTAAAATACGCATATCATTTAGTTTGATATCAGCATGGTAGAATACTCGTATATTTACTGTTAGAAAATTTTGGATGTTTTATGATCATCATACATGTTTCAATGAAAGAATCGAAGTAAAAACAATATCTTTCATCACCTATTGCAAATCATCGACATATTTTCAAAAATGGTCACAACGTTTTATTTCAATATTTAACGCACTTTACTTTTAGTTCGCATCAGATAGTCGATTCAAAACATACTCTCTACATGTCTTAGACGATGATCCTATAAGAATAAACTTTCTGGAAAATAGATCCAAGCAGGTCAAGCTTCGAGATCTATCTAATAGGCGCTAACGATCAGGAGTCTTTAGGCTTGTGAACCAAGTTTACTTGAATTATTGTAAAATTTGATCAGATTTCTTTTATAACGATCTGCTTCTATGTAAATAAGGTGTCGGCAATCCAAATTTCACGTAAAAAACGTTTTTTCGCGTTTCCTTTTGCATCATCTGATAGAGGATGAGCTGCTACATGACTTTATCAAAATGTACAACATTTTCTACTTTGTTCTATTTTTCTGCTTCTGAAAATAATTTTTTAAGATTCAGCATAAAAAAACTGAGGACAGACAAGTTGTTAAATAGACTATAGACTAAAAACTCTATTGGTGGTGCGCTTCGAATGCACCATGTAGAGGTCGATTTTGTAAACCTATCTAGTTTTTCTGCGTAAGCGATGAAGCGAAATATTATATCTTATTCGACTATAAATCATTTTTTCTTTCCTTTTCTATGTTGAAAAAAGTCGTCTTTTTTAGTACCATAACCATTTTAGGCAGTATTCAACAGGTTTTCGGATTCAAATAAGATTTTTTAGTCAAAAACAAAACACAGATTCCGTATCAGCAGAAAAAACTGAGTAAAACGAAGTATCCATCAAGTTAATTGGAATTTTTCATCTTCCTCTTTTTTTAGGTATTCTGACTTACGTAGGAAAACTAGACAGGTTTACAAAAATTGGCCTATACCTGGTGCATTCGACGCAGTTTTGATTTTCAGAAGCAGAAAATACTGCACATTTTGAAAAGGTTGTGTTTTTCTCATGGTGATCTGTAGCTCACGCTCTATCAGATAATATAAAACAACGCGAAAAAAAATTATTATTGAAATATCGATTTGGCTGCACCTTATAAGCAACACATATGATGGCGAAAATTTTAGTTGAAGTATGATCAAATAGAGTATTATTTTTTGAAGAAAGTTTTATAAGGAATTGAAATACCTCCACCAGTACTTATGGAAGACATGGGTGAAATCAACTTTTTTTTGGAATGGGAATTAGTAGATTTGAGCTTTTTTGTTTCGGAATCCTCCCTGTCTACCTTTTGGCCTGCCTCAAGTATTTTTTATCTTTAAAGATGATCATATTAAATTCTTTCGTTCTCATCATTTTATTCTGGTGCATGAACTGCATAGCAGAAGTAAGATCATTAATAAATACATCAATCATTTTTTATTCTACATTAAAACCTTGTAGGATGGGCATTGTATCTGGTATGAAGAATGTGGTCGAAATGCGATGGGTAGAGTGACGAATTGTTATTACAATGGTGCAGCATTACAATTGACTAATAAAGAAGCATTAAAGACTTTGAAATCAATGTGTAGCATGTTTTACAATGGTAAATAGATTCGATTCAATATAAAAATTAAAGTTATATTCACGAGAGATCTTTATTGTTGATATCTAATGTTACTGAATTCATAAGATATCTCAAGGCTTCGGGTTTATTGGATTCCTATTTGATCTAAGTCTCCTTTTTATATGATGAAAAAAGAAACAGAAAGATAAATATATCTTGATTCGTTATTCTAAACTAATGATTTCAGGTCTGGATACTTATACATGTTGCGCACCTGATCAGATTCGTCGCCTAAGTGACCAACTTGTACTAATCAAACTACTGTTCGGTGATTGTCCATCTTGCTTCTACAATTTTCGATCGTTATTCTGCTCTATGACATGTCATCCACAGCAGAGTCATTTCATAACTGTAAGAGAATTTGGTAATAGTACATTATATCCAGGCAAAAAGACCGTCGAGTCAATTACAAATGTACTTGCCGATGATTTCGCTCAGCGTATACTTGATTCATGTCGGTGAGTGACAAAAATCCAGATGAAATATTGATTATTCATTGTTTTTTGCTCTTGTCAGAGATGTTCTTTATCCGGACAGTGATCAACATTCGTTGAATACTATGTGTGGTCGCCCTTATGATCGGTGTACAAAAGAATCATTGTTTAATTATTTAGGTCTCGACAATCCTTCACAACCTTTTCCAATATATTTCAATTTAACAAATAATACTTGTCAAAATAATTATTACAACCAATCAACATTTCAATGTAACGAACCGGTTCATACTCAATATGAAAATCAGCCCATGTGTGATCATTCAGTCAGTTATTGACAAGGATAGAAGAAGGAGAACATTTTTTTGTATTTTAGGATTGCCCGAAAGCACCACCTAAACCATCTCCACCTGATGTACCGGGCAAATATTCAAAGTAAGTAGATGAGAATCGGTTAAGATTCTATCAAATCCATTTTTTCAGCATATCGATTCGCATGACAGAATTAATCATCGTACCTGATAATCAAACATTTCAAACTCACTATTATCTATCTCCACCTGGTCTATTATCTGAGATTGTGGTTGGACCGGCACTTGACCTAAATTTTCTAACACAAGTGCTCGATTTGCAAACAAATATTCTCAATCTTGAAGGTTATCTGCCACCAGATAATATTTCTGTTCGTTTGACCGATATCTGTTTGAAACCAAGTAATACCAATTGTGCAGTTTTTTCTGTTCTTCAATATTTTCAAAATTCACGCGACAATCTTAACAAAAGCATAGGTGATGATTTCTTTCTATATGCCGATTATATCACACATATATTTCAATGCTCAACAAAAAAACCCTCTCTTAATGATGCATTACTAAATCTTTCGTGTTTTTCTGATTTTGGTGGCATAATTCATCCAACTGTAGTATTTTCGAATTATCCGAATACGAAACATACTATCGAAGCTAAAGGATTAGTTATTACTATTATCATCGAGAATTCAAATAAACCTGAAAAAATTCAAAAAGGTAAGTTATTATTTAATTTGTCAGAATTTAACGTTCATTTAAATAATCTAGCTGAAGCATGGGAAAAAGCCTTTATAAATTACATGCAAAATTTCACTGCTATCCAAGACTCGTTACGTGCTGAAAAGCGTTTGAATGAATTGGCAAATTTTACTGTATACTACAGTAATGAACACTCTATTAAAAATGAACTCAATACTATGATTTGGTCAAACAATCAATCAAATATCAAATGATTCCTTCTTTTTTAATGATTAACAAACACAGACAACTCTTATTCCACTTTTCACCTTATAATTAATAAAAACAGAAATTATCAATGATTGATACTTACCTTAAAATTCCAATCAAATAATTTTGTATTTGAAAAGAAGTTTCTGTTATAAATATTACAGTCATAATTGAACTAGCATAAATAATCATTTTCATATGCTCTTGTTTTGTTGCTATATCAAATAGAAGTTTTGTACCATAATAATTAATATGATTAATTTTTTCAACTGTGTCTGTTTCTAAAAATGCTGCTAGATGAATAATAATATTAATTTGATTTTTTTGGATAATACGTGAAATTTGATTTTTCATCAGTGATATCACATACATAGAATTTTTCTTTTGATGGTAATATTGGCTGTTGACCTTCTGTTATTGGTGTATTTTCAAGCTGATAACGTGACGACAATCCAATATGTTTATCAATTCCATAAATATCATAGTTAAGATTTTTTTTAAATAGATGTTTAATTAGTATAATAGCAATGAGACCGGATGCACCGGCAATGAGAATTTTTTTAACCATTTTTAGTAACGAATAAGAATGAGGAAAAAAAAACTATTATGAAAAGTGATATATGTGAGATATAGCCCAGATCCAGAAATTCGCAATTCAAGGAAATTCAAGGAATTCAAGTAATCCCAATAATACAAGGAGCTGAAGAAATTCAAATAATTCAAGGAGATCAAGGAATTCAAGTAACCCCAGTAATTCAAGGAATCCAAGGAATTTAACGAAATCAAGAAATTGAAGAAATTCTATTGAATTGCTTGATTTCCTTGAATTTCCAATTTCTAGATCCTGGTTACTGGCGAAATTCATGGAATTCAAGGAACGCAATGAATTGTAGAAATTCTAGAAATTGAAGAAAACTGAGAGAAATTCAAGGAATTGAACAAAGGTAATGCATGTGTTGAGTTTCTTGAATTGCCTTGAATTCCTTGATATTTTCAAGGGATATAATTCAAAGTAATATGATGCGCTGAATTTCTTGAATATCCTTGAATTTCTTAAATTTTCTCTAATTGCACGATTTTCTTGAATTCCTTGATTTGCTTCAATTGCATGAATTCCATCATTGTTTCAAGCAATATACTTTATGTTACATGAATGTGCTGAATTCCTTGAATTGCCAATTTTTGGATCTGGATTACTGCTGATATATGTGCATCTCTCTCTTATCAACTGGGTATATTTACAGAGTATAGATAAAATGTGAAAATGGTGCAATGAAGAACTAATAGAACAGAAAAACATACGTTTAGAAGCGTTTGTTATTGTTTCAATATCTTGAGATGATTAATCTTCTGTACAGTAGAAATTCACAACATATTTAGTGAAATACCCATAATTTTAAGAAAATACGAGCTTTTGAATTTGAACGGGTTTGCAATCGTAAATTCCGAGGAAGATTTGCTTTTTTCTTTGTTGTTCAATAAATAGACATGCTGATCTTTTCAATCGATGATCAGCTCTAAATCCGTGTGTTCATTGAAATTTTCAAAGCGACACATTGTTTTTCTATATTGTAAACTAAGAAGTGGTCAGTTGAACAAGCATCAAATTATGTATACTATACAATACTTTTTGTGTAGATAAAATAGAGCGGTTCAATAAACGCATTTAATTGATGTCGCATTGTTACCATAGAAGTATCTGAATTCAATTTTCATTGTGAGGTGACTACTTGTGTTATTCCTCAAGAGAGCGTCAAGAAGAACTTTCTTGTTAATCACATTTCTTTTGATTTGTCTTTGACTATATTTTGAAATGAATACATGTCCATTGAATATTTATAATAAGGTTGAATTGATTCCTTGTCTTCAAGATAATCCAGGATGATTTAAGAAAATACTCCTGTATCTTGGAAATTAATTTGATTAACAGTCATATATTAAATATCATGTAGCTCTTTTCTAGAGTGTAGATGCAAATTATGACAAAATGTTCTTTTAGCCCGTGCTCGTACCCATACCCTACAACCGTAAACGATGTCTGATGGAAGCAAAAAAAGTGATTATTGCATGATCAGATCGTTTTGAACACCGGTTTTATGCCCTACCAACCTTCGTTTTTCAGAGTGAATGATCAAATATTTATTCTGTTACATCTTTATACAAATTATTAATAAAAATATGAAATTTGTACAATAATCAAGCGTGTATTATAGTCCTCGAACTTGAATTATTTTTATTCGATTGATACGTCTCAATCACCGCCACCTCCACAGCCTCCAGGGTGGGGTGTGGGTGTGGGTGGGTGTGTGTGTGTGTGTGTGTGTGGGTGGGTGGGTGTGGGTGTGGGTGTAGGTGTGCGATGGTCTCTGAGTCAACCACACCCACACCCACACCCACACCCACACACCCACCCACCCACACACACACCCACCCACACCCACACCCACAC